ATCGCCGCGGCCCGCTGAGCGTGCGCAGGGGTGGGGGCACGGCCCAGGAGCTTTTGCGCACGGCCCATTGCGCACGGCCCAGGAGCCTTTGCGCTGCAGCGTTCATGTCCCCCGGCCGCTGCGCGGCCCAGTGCCAGGTACTCCACGGCCCGGCACCGGTCCGCGGACCGGGGGTTGGGGACCACTGCCCTAAAGGATAAGCAAATGGGGTACTTTCTTGATATTGTGGATAATGGTCATAGCTCTTGAAATTAGGGTTTCAATGGGCGAATGACTGCCCATCTCATTCACAGGGTGATTCTGGGCAGTGTACAATTAAAAACAGGGTGATGATATATGAGCAGTGAGAGTAACACAATATGTCTGGATGGGGAGAAACAGGCTCCGACTCAACCCTTCCAAGACCAAGTGGCTGTGACTTCCGATGTCCCGATATAGCCAGCTGGTGCCATCGCTGGTTATTGGGGGCGAATCACTGGCCCCCACGGGGAGGGCTCGCAACTTGGGCGTCCTCCTGGATGCACGGCTGTCTTTAGAAGAGCATATGATGGCTGTGGCCAGGGGGGCTTTTTATCAGGTTCGCCTGATACGCCAGTTGCATCCCTTTCTGGATTGGGACTCCCTACACATGGTCACTTGTCACTTCCCGGCTGGACTACTGCAATGCTCTCTACATGGGGCTCCCCTTGGGGTGCACCCGGAGGCTCCAGTTGGTCCAGAATGTGGCCACGTGGGGGATTATGAGAGCGACGGGGCACTCCCATGTGACACCTCTCCTGCGCGAGCTGCACTGGCTTCCGGTGGTGTTCCAGGTGCACTTCAAGGTGTTGGTGACCACCTTTAAAGCGCTCCATGGCTTAGGGCCGGGGTATTTACGAGACCGCCTTCTGCCGCCAATAGCCTCCCACCGGCCAGTACGCTCGCACAGAGAAGGCCTCCTCAGGGTGCCGTCGGCCAGACAATGTTGGCCGGCGACCCCCAGGGGGAGAGCCTTCTCTGTGGTGGCACCTGCCCTCTGGAACGACCTACCCCCAGAGATACGCACAATACCAGACCTCCGGACTTTTCATCGGGCCCTGAAAACTCATTTATTTCATCTAGCCGGGCTTGCTTGATCCCATCCTTTCAGTTTTAATTTGAAATTGGTTTTAACTGGGTTGTTTTAAATTGTGGGCTGAAATTATTTAATGTCTTTTAAACTGTTTTTTTAAATTTTATATGTTATGTTTTATCTCGGCTGTTCACCGCCCTGAGTCCTGTTGGAGAAGGGTGGTATAAAAGTCAAATAAAATAAATAAAATAAATAAATGTCAAGGGATTCAATTCCTGTTTATGTCATTGTGGCCTGATCTGTAGAAGGCAAAAACACAGTCCCTTGAAAAACTTTGAATGAATGATCCTGAATAAAGAGGGTCAAGTATTACTGAAGCAGTTCATTTCTCAGAGATTTCAGCTGCTGCTGCTGCTGCTGCCTCAAGATAATTGATGAGGAAGCCATTTCTTCCCCTTGCCAGTAAACACCGGCAAATACTAATGAAAAATAGCTAAGTACATGTCATCCAAGTGAGAATAGCAATAGCGATAACACTTAGACTTACATACTGCTCCATAGTGCTTTACAGCCCTCTCTAAGCAGTTTACAGAGTCAGCACATTGCCCCCAACAATCTGGGTCCTCATTTTACCCACCTCGGAAGGATGGAAGGCTGAGTCAACCTTCAGCTGGTCAGGATCGAACTGCTGGCAATCAGCAGAGTTAGCCTAAACAATTCTAAACGAAACCACAGTTTTTTGGTAAGCACAGATATATGTTCTTGACATTATTTAACAGCAGCTGTCCAATTAGGAATCACATTATCGCTAGTTATCTAATCCAGCCCTAATCCTATTGTCATAGGAAATAAATAGCTTTCACACATTATGCTGGAGTGTGGCTTGTTGTAATGTTACCAATCCTAAAACCCTTTCATACAGAAAAGTAAACTTGGGTCAAAGCTATAATTAAGCTTGAACTTATTTCTGATCTAATTCTTGTTAAATGTCTTCTCCTTATCCGTTTCATCTCTCTTTTCATTGTTATACTTGTGAAATCATTACTGTAGTGTATTATGTTACATAAGAACTTTCCAAAGATTTCATATGTAATGTGTCTATAAGACATATAATTAGGAATATAGATAGATAGATAGATAGATAGATAGATAGATAGATAGATAGATAGATATAGATATAGATATAGATATATAGATGTTTATGTAAGTTTTATAGATATATAGATATATATATAGATATATAGATATATTATATATATATTATAATATATATAATTTTATATATATAGTGTGTGTATGTATACATATGTATATATACTTTTTAGAGTATGAACTGGTTCCATGTTTCTCTTGTATTTAGCAGTTAGCCAATCACATATGACCAATCCATGCTTCCCATCATTTAACCTAAGTAAAAGAAAATCAGACTTTAATTAAAGAGAAGTCAACTGTTGCTATCTAGAGCTGAGGGGTGGGCTGTGTGTCACTTGATCACAAATGATTTAAAATTCTGTGCCTCCACTGCAAATAGAAATGTCAATTCAATCCATAAGAGAGTGTACAATACAGATGGAAGATGTGGAAAAAATGGTCCAAAATAATTTTACTGCAATATAATTTATTTCTTTAAATCAGGGATGTCAAACTCACGTCGTCACGGTAGCGTCACATGATGTATCGGGACTTTTTTCCCCTTCACTAAATTGGGTGTGGCCAGCACATGACGCATCCAGCCTGGGGGCTGGGAGTTTGACAGCCCTGCTTTACATGATAGTTTTCTTAGAATTATTATCTGAATATGTGGAACTTGCAGGTTTCACTCTTTAGTAGCATTTGCAAAGAAATTTATAGCACTGGGTGGTGTGTTAGGGAAGCATCCTGAAACCACAGAGGACAGGATCTAATTCTACCAATCTAGATTACTTTCATGTTCCAAGGGCTGTTTTCTACTCTGTGTTCCCAAGTAGAAAATAGTGACACATGGGCTTCAGAAAATCTGGTGTTAGAACTAGTAGCCTGTACCAGTTAAATGGATAACGTGAATCAATGCATTGGAAGTCTTGGAAAACAGGAAGATGCTTTATTGTTGTCTTTTTTTTCCATTTTGCTCATTCTTGCCTTTAAAAAGCTTTCTGCAATCCCCAATGTGGCATTCTACAGATGTTTTGGGACTGTAATTTCCCAAATAGCTCAGTACATCCAGACAATGTGATATTGGGGGAAAGTGGGATACTCTGATTGCCTCAGCTTCAGAGACATTCTGTCCCCCACCATTACCCAACTCTCACTGGAGACTGAATCTAGAAAAAGTCAGGAAGAACCCTCCTGGATCTTTAATCTCCTTGACTTCTGCTGAGCTCATAACATCTTCTGGCCTTCACTGGGTTGGCCCTAGAAAATCAGGGGAAAACAAGCTAACTGCTTCCTTGTCTGGCAAATAACTGAAGTGGTACAGATATTAAAATATTTGGCTTTCCATTTGAAGTGCCTTATAATTTATGCCAGGCTGCATAGTCCATAACTCAGTCTAACAAGTCTAGTGCAGCTTAGATATATTGGTCTTTTAAAACATTAAAACATTAATTCATTATTTAATGATAAATACATCCCACTGTCTTTCAATCATACTCCCTGAGCAGGCCCGTCCCTCCCAAATCCTTAATGATTAAAACTTTAAATTCAAAGACATAATAGAGCCAGAAATGCCATCAGAGCATAAGAAAAGCAAAGTGTAATTTGCAGGATCAAAAATCACATTAAACATCTCTAAGAAAATAAATGTCTCTAGAGCATATGCCATGTGAATAGGCTGTTTAGATGCCAGGGTCTCTAACGATGTCCCTTCCAATTGTAAACCTCTATCTACCATTGAAGCATTGCTCTGATAGCTTTAGTGTATGATATGATTAGCGCAAAGTTGCCCCAATGTAGGTGGCACATTCTGTAATGTGTGGCAATTGCCAATATGGACTTTAACTCCCATTTCTGGAGTTAAAGTTAGCTTGCCATTCCACATTTTTTTTCTCTCTCTCTCTTTTCTTTTTCAAGAAACATTCCAATAGATGCAACATAACCTGAAAAAATAGCATTGTTTGTATGTTCAAGGAATAGAGGAGAATGCCTGCACAACATATACAGATGGGTGAATGAAAACAAGTAAGCCTGAGTCAATGAATAAAGAGATTTTGAAGTTCTTCCTCCTCCCCAACCCAACCCTTTTAATCTAAACAAGTGTTCAGAAGATCCAGGTTATTAAGACAGCTGTAGCCTTGGAGATCCAAATTCCATGGAACCCACAGAAACTTGGTAGCTGCTTATGTGTAAGAGTCTACTTCAGACATTTCTGTACAGTATGTGGGTGGCACATCCTGCTACAAGTGGAAGGAATTTAAAGCTTCCTGCAATCTGCCAGTCATATAATAAGTAAGTAAATAAATAAACAGTACATGTTCCCAGTGGGAAACAGTGTTAGAACTATTCAAGTTTGTCAGTTGAAATCAATTTGGTAGTTCTTAGCTTTGGGATTGAATTAATGGGAGAATCAAGATTGGTTGCGGTTTATATTTAATTCGCTGTTAAAGAATTGAGGAGGAAAACTATGTTACTGTTAGTTTGGGAATGGTAGAAAAGTAATATTTTTTCTCTTATTTTAATTGCTACTATTTGTATCATAATGATTACCCATTTTCATTAATTTAAAATGGGAGAGAGAGAGAAGAAGGGAGGGGGGGGGAGAGGGAGGGGGAGAGAGAGGGGGGAGAGAGAGAGAATCCATTCTACCTCTGGCAAATATTGTACAGAATGTGGAATTGCTCCAAACCACATCCTAGGACACTTCTGACAGACAGCTGAGCCAACTAAAGCCCAGTGCAATCAAATATAACTCAATAGTTCCATCTGTATCCAGGAAAATTTACCTCTATCATCCCAAGGATTGAAACTCCATTTTCTCTATTTTGGCTTCTTGCACTGGAAAGCTCCAGAAACACATTCAGCTTTGTATGTGACCTGAAAAAAAGGTGGAAATGAAGGAAGGGAAAGAAGAAAGGAAAGATTTCTCCCCTTCCCGCCTCCCCCCAAAAAATTTCTAAGAAGTGGCAAACCAAACACTTTCATATTGTATAGAATCATTTCTCAAATGGATGAAGTATTTTGTGAAAACAAGAAGTGACTGCTCGAAATGCATCAGGAGAAGCTTTGCAAATGAGGGCAAAGTGGTAGGGCAGCTTTTGAAAAGCAGCGCTTTGAAATACACATCACAATAGAACAGTTCTGACATCCATTTCATGGTTTTTTTTTAAAAAAAGAAAATTTACAGCTACTCCAGGGAGGAGGTGAGGGAAGGGAAGGATGACGAAGGCTGCCTGGCTCAACTGTGATGGAATAGACCAGGGGTGTCAAACTCAAGGCCTGCAGGATGGATCCAGCCCGTGGGGTGCTTAGATCTTGGAAACAGCAAAGGATCAGCCTGTGGTGCCTCTGCTCACAAAACAGAGCTCGGGTGGGCCGCACGTGTCCCTCCCAAGCTCCAATTTCACTGGCAGAGGGCTGCAGGAGGCCATCACAGCCGAAAACGGAGCCTGGGAGGGCCGTGTGTGGTCCTCCCGGGCTCTGTTTTCACTGCCAGAGAGCTGCACGACATCGAGCTGGCCACACCCAACCTAGCCACACCCACTCGTCCCCCTGAGGTCAATCACAACCCTGATGCAGCCCTCAATGAAATCGAGTTTGACACCCCTGGAATAGACCATCTCAGAAGCAGCACAAATGTACTGAGTTTCTTACTGTCAAGGATGCTGTTAGCTTATTTCCAATCGATATGTGATTTTTCCTTCCCTTTTGAATCTCTTTCCTAATAATCTAGTCTTCACAGAGAGAAAGTGTGGCTGAATCAAGTAGCCACAAGTCCTACTTTATAGAGGACCATCCTCTTTGAAGAGGTCCCTACCTGGGAGGTTGTCCAGACCAGATCGGTTTTAAACAACACAAGCCATATGGGGAAAGAACCTAGGACCTGAAACTGACCATCAAGAATTGAGACCTCAGTAGAAGACTGAATAGATGTCCACAAGATTCTTTGTCATAGTCTTCCCCTGTACGGGGAAAACTCATTGTCTTCCTATTGAAGTTTAAGTCATCATTGCTGATTCTATAGTTCAGTGTTGGTGAACCTTTTTGGGACCAAGTGCCGAAACAGGAGCGTGCACACATGTGTACGTGCGTGCCAGAAACTGGAAGACCAGCTGGCCGGTGCACATGCATGTGCCGTAAACCAGAAGATCATTTTCCTGGCACGTGTATGCGAACCAGGAGGCTGGTCTTCTGGTTTCCAGCACTCCATAGCGCGTGAAGACTAGCTGGCCAGCACACCAGAATCTGGAAGAGCAACAGGCGATGGCTCATGTTCCCAGACAGATGGCTCTGTGTGCCACTTCCGGCATACGTGTGATAGGTTCGCCATCATGGCTATAGTTCCTTGAATAAATAATTACAAAACAGATGTGGATAAGGTGTTGTTTTTGCTGATGCATTTCATCTTTCAAGTAGTCTATTTCTAGGAGTCTCCCCTCATCCTTTCAAATAATAATTGTTATGAGGCAACCATTTTTGCGGAGAAAGTTAACATTTCCAAAAAAATACAGGCAGTACAATTTTGCTCTTTCAAAATGTTCTCTGGTATCTTACGACTACAAAGCTCTTCTCATTATTAGGCAAAGGCAGAAGCATTTGCCAGAAGCAGTGAAACATGACTGTGTCTATTAAAGCTAGGAGCTTTGTGTTGTACACTATGGCAGGGCTATTAAACTCTCAGCCCATAGGCCGGATGCGTCACGCGCTGGTCATAGCCACACCCGGTTTAGCGAAGGGAGGGGGAAGTCCAGTGGTGGGGTTCAATTTTTTTAACAACAGGTTCTGTGGGCGTGGCTTAGTTGGGGGCGTGGCTATCTGGTCATGTGACCAGGTGGGCATGGCTAGCTGGTCATGTGACTGGGTAGGCATGGCTAGCTGGTCATGTGACCAGGTGGGAGTGGCTATGTGCACAGGGACTACTCAGATGGCTGAAAAAAGTCATTTCTAACTGGTCCTCGCACTTTTGACTGGTCCTCACAATTATGACCATCCTCACATTTCTGCCCATTGCAGCATTCTTAACAACCGTGTCAGTCATTTCACAACTAGTTCTCTTCACCACAGTGAGAAGATAGGGCGCAAAACGTAAAATGTGAGGACAGTCATAAGTGCAAGGATTGGTCAAAAGTGAGGACCTGTCAAAAATAACTTTTTCAGCCGTCTGAGTAGTCCATATGCACAAAGGGACTACCCAGAGGGCTGAAAAAAGTGATTTCTGACAGGTCCTCACACTTTTGACTGGTCCTCGCACTTATGTCCATCCTCACATTTATGCCTGTTGCAGCATTCTTAACAACTCATTTCACAACTACCTCTCTTCATCACGGTGAAAAGATAGGGCGCAAAATGTAAAATGTGAGGACAGTCATAAGTGCGAGGACCGGTCAAAAGTTTGAGGACCAGTCAAAAATAACTTTTTCAACTCTCTGAGTAGTCCCTATGCACATAGGGACTACCCAGAGGGCTGAAAAATGTGGTTTCTGACCGGTCCTCGCATTTTTGACCTGTCATCATTTATGCCCATTGAAGCATTCTTAATTAAATTAATTAAATAAAAATGACCTGCTGGAGCAGTCGGAGGCAGTCCAAGGCGGGTGTTCGGGCCAGCTGCAGGGCAAAGTGATACAACTGGGGTAGGTAGGCCGCCCAGGTAGGGGCCCAGGTGGGAGGCGGGCGCAGGCCTACAGGACTGGCTGCAAGGTGAAGCAATGGGTGGGGTAGGTCAGGGGTTTGCAACCTTAAACATTCAACCTAAGCACCCAGTCATTTCTTAATTACCTGGGAATATGCACCTTCCCATATAGTCAATGGGACTTGCTTCAAATAAATATCTGTTGTGAATAGTTCTGTTGTAGAACTGACACATGTGAGATTGCAATATCACACTGGACTGATAGTGGAATCTTTCTTTAGACTAGTGCCTATATAATATTTTAAATTCAGGAGAATGATTTAAGAGCTACAGAGTCAGCTGTGCATTGTCCAGGTAGCCTGTTGGATACTTCCCTAATACCCAACATAAATAATCTAAAATGGCTACTCTACCTAATGATTGTTAGTACTGTTACTATATATGTTTACTTGGCTGTGGTCCTGTGCTCATTTTAAGCCCACATTGAGCCCAGAAGGGGAAAAAACTGGAATGTACATGATTTCAGAAAATAAGCATTCCTTGTTGGTTCTAAAGAAACTTCCTGACAGTGTGAACCAATATAGGTGCAGAAATATTTCAGTCATAATTTCACATATAAAATAGCCATTTGTGTAATACAACCTGCATATTGTTCAGAACAGTCATTAGTACTATGGCTGATGTTTGACAGCAAGCCTAAAAGGCAAAGATCATAAGAGTGCTTCTTTCTCTGTATGTATACAAAACATCACATACCAGAAATAGCACATTAAGATGGACTTATGCAACCTGATGTACAAATAAACACTCACATACTTATGCTCTGGACTATAGTCATTGAATGCATGTAAATCCCTGAAAAATATGTGGTAGGCCTGGGCAAAAGAAAGGCAGTAAAATCACTCTAGGTGTAGGGACAGAGTAAAATATTAATACATGATAAATAATGGAACAATTAAAAGTAATAGCACTGAGTTTTTTCTCTCTCTCTCCCTTCCTTCCTCTTTCTTTCTCTTCTATCTTTCTCTCCTTCCCTTTCTTTCTTTCTGTCTGTCTATCTCTTTCTGTCTCTCTTACTCACTCACTCACACTCACTCACTCACACACACACACCTGGTCTTGGCACAAAGTATCTGTTGTTACAGAAGTTCTCATTTCTCTCTCTAATACACCTCATACTAATCGATACCCTATCTCTGAATGTAAAGCCTATGCATGTTTACTTGGCAGTAAGGCTACTCTCTTTCAATGAGAATTACTCCTAATAGATACACATGATTACAGGCAGACAGCTAGCTCCGTTGTTTAATGGGCTGTAAGTAAAATTTCTACATTAACAAAATTTATACCTAAACAACAGAATATAGGAGCAAAAAATCATAGCAATAATCTGAGCTATGCTTTTCTTCTTTAAATGGAAGTACTACCCATTTTAACCAGACATTAAGACTCCCCGCCCCTCTTTTGCTTGAAACTTTCAGGGTGGGAGGGAAAAACCAATTAAAAACAGGAAGGAGGCAAGGACAGAAAATGGAAACAGGAGGCATTTTTCAGCTGCTTTCTGGGACTGAAAAGTTGAGGGGACCCAAGGAAGCAGCATCCAGCCGGGATTAAGAAGACCCCCGCTCCCACCCCCCACCATCCCACGCTACCTTCTTTTTTTCTCCCTGCCCCCGCTTTTCTCTCTCCCGGGAAGAAGGGGACTAACCTTAAAAAAAAAAAAAGCTCTGCTGCTGAGCAAGGAAAGCAGTAGCTGGGAAGGATGTTGCTACGGAGTTAAAACAATGAAAAAATTGCCCTTCCCCTGTTCCTTCCCTCCCTCTTTTTCTCCCCACCAATTTCTTTTGGCACCGGAGCCAATGTGGTTTCTTTCGCTGCCTGCAAGCTGCTGGCTGCCTCTAATCTGCAGTTTACTCGTGAGCAAGTTTACTCATGAGCATGGTTCTCTTTTGTTTGTGAAGTCCCCCTCCTTTTTTCCCCGCCCAGCTGGAGAAAGACAGGCGAGGGCTGCTGCTGCCCCTATCAGTCCCAGTGCAGTGGCTGCACGCAACGCCACTGACCGGCAGGGAGAGGGGAGCAAAGCAAAGCTTGCCGAGCTCCCCGCCATCCCCTGCCCACCTGCCACCCCAAATTGCGCCCCACTGCGAGATGCGCATTTTACCGGAGAGTGGCAGCTCTGGGTCATCTCTCAGCCATTGAGTGCAGGGAGTGTGAGGCAATTAACTTCTCGCACTCAGGAGAAGTT